ACACCGCCTACCAAATTCATTCATTTTGTACAGTTACATCCACAATCATAAACATGGGAGCAATAAGTAGCCATTTTTATTTTTCCACATCAAAATCCCTGTGGGTTTTACAACGATTAAGTCTGTGCAAGTTGAATGTTAGTCGACAGACTTGTAAATTCATCGGGTGTAATAAAACCTTTTGAAGTTTGTTGTTTTCTCCCTTGAAAATCAATACACCATCACAGCATAGATTTCATAGTCGTTTACATGGCAGTAAAATTGTTAAAAAAAACATAAAAAAAAAATCTTCTTAGGAAAGCAGTTAAGGTGTCGGAAATCAATAAAGTTCGTTAATTGAGGCTCTTCCTTGTAATTATATAAGCTATTATATCTATCACCGTCACACATCAAAATATCACTTTTATTACATAGTTTTTACATTATTCTCCTTTGTCAAAAAAACATTTCCATTTTTAAACATATAAAAAAAACAGCCTCAAGTCATTATTTGTAAGTGAAAGTGACATCCAGATAAAACTATTACAGAACATATTAGATATCGAATATGAGAAAGTTTTTTTTGATTAAACTTGAAATAAGATAGGTAATTTGGTTTTGTTAGCTTTAAGCTATCACAGATTATAATACTTTAATAGCTTGTGCACGAATTGTTTAATATGTATGTAAATACTTCCAGACACATTTTCAATGATCATAATGGATATGAAAATAATTTGACGATGCTAAGGATGAAGGATAATTAAGAAATGTAAGGGATGATGGTGGTTATTGGTGATAAATAAAAGATAACAATTATTAGTGATAAATATCATCATTACTGATGATGATGATGATATCTAATGATGATGATAGGGAAAGGATGATAATATTGACAATTAGGAGGATGAAAATTAGATTTGCAAGGACCATGCTGATAATTAAGAGGATGACAATGCTGATAAAATGTGACAGTTAAGGATGATGATAAAATAGATGATGGGGATGATAAATAGTATGATATGATGAAGATGATGATGAAGAGTAAAGGATACAGAAATGAGGCAGATTTATATTCATGAAAAACAATAATTAGAGTGTTTAAATGATTTTCTAAGTGATTCATCATGTTTTCTATCAAGTGAAAGCTTTTTTTAGGTTTAGAAATGATATTGCTTCATTTTAGTTACACTTATACCAATATATTACTAATTTATCTTTCTTCATTTCGACTTCTAATACAATTTCTTATTTTAAATGAGAATATCATGAGGGAATTAGATAAGAAAACCAGACAACAAACTCATGTATCTACAGTATTTCAATTATAGAGAGCTTGGTATTAAGGTACATGTGTAGGCTATTTAATAAACTATTTGGCTAAAAATAAACTATAAGCTTACTCCTCGGTTAGTACATGTACCATAGTAGGGCTGCACTGATATGGAATTTGGAACTTCAATGTGTAGCGCATAATTCTGAATGATTACGATAATGAATTTTAATTACAAGATCTTATATCCTCTAAAAGGTGCCCTAAACTCTGATCAGTGTTCAACCATTTTATTTACTGGTACGTAGATCAAATGAATGTGATGACCCTTGATATTTAGAATTAGCATAGATTAATGGATTAATCTAACAGGTCAGTGTCAAAGAGGAAAACACATAATGTCAAAGGTCAATTGAACATGCCACAGTAAAGATCAGGACAATTAAACCTTTAACCTGTAGAATTACAACTATAAAGGAATGGTGCAATTCACTCTTGTCTGAAACAAATTGCCTAGCTTAAAACATGATCCTTGGCACAGAAAAAATTTAGAATCCTTCTCTAGATTATTGAATTTCAGAATTGTCAGTCATAAGTGTACATCCTATAAAAGGTCAATAATACATTGCCAGTGAAACTCATGTTAAACTGTCATTAAAAATAGGGGGATTGTGTGGTCGGGTAGTCTAATATGTGCACTGTTGTCAAGTCAACGGGTGTTGTTTCGCTCCCACTGCCAAAGATCCCTACACACAAACGATTTATTGGAAAAAAATTGTACCATGTTATTTACGAAATGACCTAGTTTGTGTCTAGTGGACATTATACCCTATTTACATGTATTTTTCTCTCATTAAAAAAAATCAATTTGCCCCTCACATCTATTCTACACAGAAACTTTAATACATGTATACTCAGCTTTATAAAACAAATTTTCCTACAGGAGGCAAATCTTTAACTCAATATCATCCACAGACTTTGACATAGCAAACACGACTTATTGGTCAATTCAAACCAACATTGATGTTGTTATCTCACCGCGAAAAGGTGGGCTTCTGGTATCCAATATTAAAGATACAATGAAAATTTTGAAATTGGCACACGAATTGCAAGCTAGAATGCTTTCGAGCAACATTTGTAAATGAAGCGACTCGACGAAGGAGGCTAAACACATTCCAGAAGAGAATACTACTGGTGTAGACTGGTACATGTATAACCAGACGCCAAAGACTGCCATTCAGTTTGGACTCACATATTTCGCCAAACATAACTGATTTGAAATTACAGTAAAAATAGAAACGATTAAATGTAAATAAGTTTATATACATTCATATTACATTATTATACACGTTGCAACCCATTTGTGTCCATTTCTAGGTTTCAAAGAATACAGATTTCGATCCTTTAAGATTAGATAAAGAATAAAGAGCAGGCAGTTCTCTCTATAACAGCTATTGAAACGAGAATATGCTGAAAATTTCAGTCAATTTTAGGCTAGCCTAGACCCGATCATCATTACTACCGTTGTTACGATAATAAACAAAATATCGATTATCTATTTTTACGGTTAATTCATCCACAACAAAACGTATTCAAATCCACTAAATAAAGTTAATTAATGCCTAATCAATAATTTAGATAACATTTCAGGCCTAAAGAAAGACCTGCAATAAGCAGATTTAGCTCTTGCATAATGTATGTTTAATGCTAGTTATCTTAAAATCATCTAGCTACATGTACATGTATGTAAAGGTTTCACATCAGTCTAGATAAAAAATTTCACAACCAACACCTAAAGATGTCTATCATTTATGAAAACCTTCATGTGTGTTAAATATGTGTGATTCTTTTTCAAAAAGGTTACAGAATACGCAACCCTTTAATATAATACCCTAAATAAATAAATATATCTATTATATTAGAACCTTTAGAAAATATATTAACCAAATCTCTAATGTTTCCATAACAATGGGAAAGGGTCTTTACTCTCTGGTGCTAAACGGCAGGACTTTTTACGCGCGAGTAACTTTCTTTATATAGGTATCTCAAATAGTTCTTTGTTAATAGCAATAGATTTTATCAGTTTCTCTAATAACTTATTCATTTGAATCAGACGATTGTCCATCCTTTACTTGATTATACCCTACAGCTCAGACAGCGCGTTTCCTATCATCAGCAAGAATAAGCGTCAAGGAGGTGAAAATAAACTGACCAGTAATTTGATGAACATTTCTGGAATTTCTCAAAATAAAAACAGTCTTGCTCATATAAAAATATCTATAATTTACATATGTATACCAGTCTAGTGTTGGGCAATATTAGGGTTTCTCTTTGATAAAAACATGATATAAAAAATATTCATAGTTATGGACCTTTATTTTCAATATTTTCAATACTATACATGCTCTTTTCATTCCTAGTTAAATGCTATTTGTAATGAGATTTTTTATAATGGTAGTGAAAAGTATGATGTGTATTTTGACAAGTATATTATACATTTCGATGAATATATCATACATTGCGTTTTTCTGACAAAATGGTCCTACCTTGGCATATAAAATAAAGCCAAGTTGTATCGTAATCAATGAAATCAAGTACATGTAACTGATTATTTGCTTATAGAAACAGATAAGTTCAGAAAAAAAAAATCATGATATAAAGTTATATTGTGATATAATTGTTCAAATATCACAAAAAATATCCTAAACATCTCATATCGCACACCACTATTTCATTTATATACTGGTACAATGTATTATTATATGGTACCATTTATATATTTTCTCCATCAGTTTCCAATTAACTGTCTCTAGATGTAATGAGCTTCAACTAGTACACGTTTATATCCTAGTGGGAGAAATCATGGATCTCTCTGGCTGACATAAACTCTAGTTACGCTACTGTATCCTTTTATTGTAGATCAATGCATGAGGCTGTATTGCCTATTCAGTCTGAAATGTTCTGACTGGAAAAATCATATTTACATACAGTATATCTACAACTTTTCTGAAAGATCCATAAGCACATTGAACTAAGAAGAGATAGCTGGATTGTCCTTTCGTAACAAAATCTCTATATATTTTTTGTTATCAATCGCCTCAAGTGTCTTTCTCTTTTTTTCAGATTTTTCTGAATGGAATTGCCAGGTTAGAAATGTCAGAATAAATTACAAAAAGATTGACTCTCTTATATACATGTAAGTAGCTGTTTATTCATGCCAAGCCCTAGATGATGAAAGGAATCAAATTGCCTTGATTGAACTATTGATAGATCATAAAACCAAACAAGGGCTAGTTTTTCTGACTCTAGAGAGTCTAGCCCAGACTGATATATGTGATAACATATCAGAGGCTGATCACGTTAAAGTTATTCAGACTGAAGACTGAACATGAGATAGGCTAACAGATATAAAGATTGGTATAAACATAAGTACATACATGTATGTAAATAATATACTTGGTATGGTACTTATTTTGCATCTTAATGTATGCTATAAAATTGGCAGGCAAAATGTTTCAATTGGAATGATTCATCAATCAGGAACTTACATCTCCTTGAAATATTTCTATATATCAATACTCAAATTCGCATCTTGAAAGAATGCTGCATGTACATGTAGTTTATACTAAATCAAAACAAATTCTCTTAAAAAATGCCTCTGGCTTTCTTCACCAAAACACAATTAAGGCTTCTTTCATTAAAAGCAGATAGCCTAAAAATTCATCCACCACTATATAAAGATACTTACAGCTTCACCAGACTTGATAGTTCGTTAAATGATCCCTGTTTTAAAATATTCATCTCGTTCTCATTTAAACCCCTGCAAAATAAAAAAACACACACATTCATTTTTTTATTTACGACCTACATAAAACACCATGTGTTCTAGACCTGGTTCTCTAATAACTGACAAAAATTTGTTACCCATAATTTACAAAAAATGGCATTTTTTCTCTTAAAAATGGTAAAATATATTAGCTCTTGGGTTGATTTGAATTGGGTTTTTGTTGCCAAATGCCTGTTTAAATGTACTTGGGTTTTTTAACGGCCATAAGAAACACCAACATTGGATACTATAATAGAACAAATGTTTCTTTATCTAGCAAAATAAATCTTGAAAACACATAAAAAAATAACAAGAACTAAAGCTTAAAAAAAAATAACAGTTTTACAAATTTCATTGAAGTACCGTAGTAAAACAAATGAATATGGGAAAACAAATATACAATATTATTATTGTTAATTACATATATGTGAACTTTGTAATAAATATAAGAAAGGGTATCAATCTGCCTCATGTTCTGACTTCTTCTAGAGAGAGTAAACATACATCGGCTCTTGTGCACAACACCTGTCAGTTTCTATCACTAATAGATTGACAGATTATCTGAACAAGATCTGAACTAAGATATTGATGAGTACCAGTATTCAGTATACTTATAGGCCTACCAAAAATAATAGCATTTATTCATTTGCAGAAATAAGAATAAATCTATTTGTTAGTGACAAAGGTTTCTATGAATATGTTCATTAAAGTGTCTGTGTGTCATTTGCATTTTTCTGAAAATTGTGTGACTTTGTGCTGGCTGTGCTATGTTTTCTATGACACAAGGAGAGACAAATACTGTCGTCCAAGATTTTTCTTTCTCATACCTTGCTATCATAGTCAAAGGCCTTTTATAATAAATCATACGTCCATAAATAATACATTCAAGTACCATAAATGACACAGTTTCTGGTGTCAACTTCAAGTCAAGTAGACCAGGGCTAACTTTATTTTTTCACCAAGTAGAATTTGACACTTCCTAAATTGTCCATTTCCTTTGGTAAACAAAACCCACATATGTACCATAATTTCACATTGTAATTCATTCATTTTTTTAAAATTAGACAATTTAATTATCTCTTTCTTACATGTACCATACTTTTACTTTAAAATCCTAACTTTATAATACATTTCTTTCTTACATGTACTTTTGCATACATCATGTACTTTAAAATCACAAGTCTTAACTACTTAGTAAAATTTGTTAATTTGATTGTAAAATACTGAAATAATTAGTACATGTACATGTTCATAAATATGCAGATACATGTACATGTATGATTCCAATTTAAGAGTAGGCTAATTATTGAATCTGTGTACCACCCATTTTTTTTTCTAAAGTTATACCTTTACCTGAGATAACCCAGATATTCACTATACATGTACATATAATACGGCTAATCTGATTGTTGGACACAGTCAAAAGTCTGATACTCTTCATGTACATTGTATTACATGTATTCAAGAATCCAAAGAAAAATTTGGTTTGGGTCAAAATTACAAATGTCAATTTTATTAGCTTTTATATGTTGATGTCCTTGTTTTGTGGGATGTCCTTGTTGGAAATATGATAATATCACATCTACAGATGTAAGGTAATAAATTGATTTTGTGTTCCACTGTCGACACAGTAAGCAGAAAATAATATCAGCAAATATGCTGATGAAAGCTTAAATTGTCAGAACAAAAATTTAATCATAGGGCTCACCCCATGACGAATCTAAGTAACATATCAGAATCAACCAAATTCATAACTTAACATGCATTTTGATTTGAGTGTCAAAGACATTTTAGCATCTTTAAGGTCTAGTCAATTGTGATTTATGATCATATCACACAAAACTCTCAACTCCCATTAGTAGCATAACTTTTTCTTGATAAAATCCAGATAACAAACAGATGATAAAAATATTTATTTTTTTAAAAAATCGACTGAGATAATTTATCATATTGTGCCATTATTCTACAGCTCAGGTGAATTTTGACATGGTTGGGCGTTTGCCAAACTTTTATATCTTAAAACCCAGGTGATTCATAAAATTGAAGTATACAAGAAATAAGTTGTTGAGTATAATCTTTGCGAGCAGTATATCAATATTTCAAAGTAAAGCTGGATTAGAAAAATCCAAACAAATTACCTTGATTCAAACAATAATATTTAGTAAATTTCTTAATAATAATTGCCTGTTCATAATACAAGAAATAAGTTGTCGAGTATAATCTTTGCGAACAGTCAGTACATGTATATCAAAATTTTAAAGTAAAGTTGGATTAGAAAAATCCAAACAAATTACCTTGATTCAATCAATAATATTTAGTAAATTTCTTAATAATAATTGCCTGTTCATAATAGTTTGTTTGAACTATTTTGTTTTTTTAAAGAAGGATCTAAATTGGGATGGGGATGGTTTTATTTATCCAAAGAATGGATTTTTATTTGTTCACAATAAAGCTTATTTGTTGTGTTTTTCCAGCTTATTTACATATTACATTTATATCATTATATGGCCCCAGCATCATGATGATCAGGGGATAATACATAGATGTGTACAATGCGCCTAGCATTTACCTAAATTAACAAAAAAGAAGTGACCCTAAAAATTCACACTTTTAAGATAGGTTGCCAGGCAATGAAAAAGAGTTGTGACATATTTCTTCTTTTGTCAGTAATGAAACATTTATAATACACTTAAATCTTATTAAGAGTAACAACTCATTAAGTAATTATCAGAAAATCATTAGAATTTGTTTGGCTTCTAGTTCTATCCCATGCTAATGTTTAGTATAAAAAACAATTAATATCATGGATTAGGCAGTTCAAGTTATCAAAAATCATTGAAAATCAATATACTTGTTTGTCTCAAGCATTTGTATCAATCTGAAGTCAATCGAATGACCACTTTAGCCTTTAGAGCATCTGCAAGATTTTTTTTAAGTAATCAAAGGCCACAACTCTGGCAGTAATTATTGGAAATCCTTGAAAATATATAGGTGCCTTCGACTCGTGATCTTAAAGACTGTGTATAAATCTAATGTCAATCGGATAGAGCGACCACAAGATATTTTAAAGTGATCAAGGGCCATAACTCTGGCAATAATTATCAAAAATCATTGAAAATCAACAGGCTTTTCATTTCATAACCATAAACACTGTGTATACATTTAAATCTAAAAATATTGCAAAGGGTCAAGGGCCATAACTCTGGCAGTAAATATCGGAAATCGTTGAAAATCAATAGGATTCGTTGTCTCATGGTATAGATTTTTAAAAAGTCAACCAGATATTAACTTTTGCCTCTAGAGGTATCCCCAAGCAATTGTGGACGCCGGCTGACCGGTCTGACGGACCAATCGACGCGGGTGACGACAATATCCGACCACAATTCAATGTGGGCGTACAAAAAGTGATGTCTGCTTGCAAGTGGTATGCTATAAAAGCCTACAACGCAAAATTCGTACAGACCAGACCAGTTCCCTACTGAGGTCAAACACCCTGTGCTTACATGTAATCTTCCCAATGATGGAGCACTGTAGTACAGAAATGCATCTTCCCCATCTACTTTTTAACTGATTGAATCATACAAATTCAAAAATTAATTTATGGAGTGTGAGTGTGACATGATTTTTGTGAAATAAAAAATGAAATCGTAGATGTAACAATATTGTGTCTCTTTAAAACTTCAAAATACATCTTCTTTCACTATCTTTTGGATGTCGGTCGGCTACTAAAATTTTTTCTTACCATAAAGAAATATCTTAATTGTCATGTAAATGTTCCTTTATATTTCAACCAGCATGGTGCACTATGCTTTTTATCTAGTCTAAAACTGTACTTGATATACACATGTAGCTTGCATGGGGGAAATCAGAGACCTGCAAGTTAATTTATGGATTGTGGTGTACTGCATCAAAGCTTACCATATTTCATACAATATAGCTACATATACATGTAATAACATGTCTGAAATACTGATATCACAGTATATATTAATTATCAAACATATTTCACATTTGTAAATAATACACCTCTCATATACCACAGGAAATGTATAATCCACCATAATCATCATGAAGGTTTATATGGATATTGATTTACCAATAGTTTGATGTGCATTACTAAAGTAATAAACCATGGGAAATCTTATACATGTACATGTAATGATAGTCAATTATAATTTCAACTGTTACCTATATATGGTTGCATTTTAAATACATACACAAGGCCACTGTACGGACAGTCATCATGGCGGGCCAGGTAAAGGTTCTTCAACTTAACGTTAACGGACTGGCCCCCAGATGTGCTGAGCTGAGAAAATACATCACCCACAACCCCAAAGATGTAATATGTCTCCAGGAAACCAAGCTACTACCAACTAAGAAAGACATCTACCTACCCGGATACACTTGTCAGAGAAGGGACAGACCGGGCAGCATGACTCGTGGCGGCGGACTTGCCATCTACGTCAGTGATAACTTAAATTATACTTCTGTTACGCTGGACGTAGCGGGCCCTCTAGAAGCAATGGGCATAGCCATCACATTGAGCAATAATAAAAAATTGACAATAGTGAATGTCTATGCACCCCCAATAGTCACGATAAAATCAGTAGACTTCCAGTCACTTCTCGACCAGCTTCCACAGGGCGAATCGGTGTTTTGCGGGGATTTCAACGCAAAACACGCTCTGTGGGGGTCACCGAGGAATGACTGTCGGGGGACTAGCCTGTGCTCAATAATCGAAGGGAACGACCTATGCGTACTAAACGACGAGAGCCCTACTTTTGTTGGAGGAAATGCCCCACCTTCACACCTGGATCTCACGCTCTGTACGCTTGGTATGGCAAACCGCTGCGACTGGCAAGTACACGAAGATGAAACACTTGGCAGCGACCATCTACTGATAGAACTCTACATCCAATGTGAAACAACCAGGGAAGTCTTTAACGGGAAACCCAATTGGAAAATAAAAGAAGCTGATTGGGCTAACTTCCGTG